CCCCAAAACCCCAAAACCCCAATGCTAATCAAATGATAAGGATTTTAGAATAAGAAATAAAAAATAAAGCTTTTTATTTATTGAATAAATGAGATAGCAATAAGCACAGCCTTAATCTAGGAAACTCTCAGAGAATCAAAACTCAAATTCTTTCAAAAAGATCAGACCTTAAACCAATCTTAAAAAGCTTAAATTTGAGGATGAGATCTTTAAATTAGATCCTCTGCAAGTATTAGCTTCTGGAAATCAAGCTGGCTCCTCACATTAAGCAAAGTTGAAGTTCTTTTATGGACCCTATGATAATAACCCATCATCACTAGGGAAAATAGATCAAAATACTACGGTAGATAACCTTGTTTAGCAAAACAGTCAAAGTTCAAATTAGTCACCTCAATTTAAGCAGCAGTCAACATTTATTGCTGCTAGAAATCATAGTCTGAAGAAATAAAAAGAGAGAATTAATGAAGAGCAATTATTTCAAGAATTATAAGAATATATAAAGCACTAATAGGAGAAAAAACACATGATATTTGATAATAATGAAGACCTCCATAAATTTAGATGGTCTATGATAGCCAAAGCTATTTTAAGTCCAGGGCACAAGCAACTTAAAGGCTTGATTGATAAACTACAAAAGAGAAGAAGGTTTGAAGAGTTTCTGTCTTAATAGCTGAGAAAGAAAAAACGGAAGGTGATATCATCTTCCATTAATTGCATTAACATCTAAAGCGTTAATACTGGAAGTCGATTAAACAATAGTGGATTGCCAATTAATAAAGATTCAAGTTAAATTCTAGGAGAATCACTTAACAGCAGAATAAAAAACTCGACTATTGATTCTAAGACCAGTAATTTATTAGGTTAAAAGGTATTCAAAGGAAACTCTCTGTTTCCCATAAAGGACTCAATATTCAATGTCAGAATGGCAAGGATTTCACATTAACCTAAAAACAACCCTGATGAGCCCGAGCCAAAGCAGCCAAAGATTGAAAGTCAAAACTGGAGAAATGACTATTCATTTAATAATTCTGATAAAAGTGCAAGCGGGTCAAGGAGTGAGCGAAATTCTTTGAATTCATTGGAAGACTTAGATGATGAAGATAGAAGTGAAGATGAGCATTCTAGGAATGAGGATGGCAAACTAAGACTTAAGCTAAATAAGAAAAAGAAGAAAAGCATGTTTAATAATGGAAGCAGGCAGCTGGTTAAAGTGAGGTCAAGAAGAAATACTAGTTTTAAGGTCTCTGCAGGAAATAAAGAAAAGTTTACAAGTCCCAGGAATAATAAATTAAAGCTTTTAGGGTTGACTCCCAAGATTTCTCAAACTAGCAAAGCTCTTGATTTTAGTCACAGCATTAAACAAGATAGTCTCAAGCCAGAGATTTCAAATACATAAATTAATGATTAATCTATTACTGAAGATGAAAACGATGAAGAAAAGAGAGAGATAGAAGTCATAACCTTCAAGCAACCGAAGGCACGCAAACTTATTAATAAAAGAGTTGTCATAAATGAGGAAATGGTTATTAAGGAAGAGATATCCACTCCAAAGCCTAGCTAGCAAGGATAAATCAAACATTAAAGACCAGTGTCTAGTAATGTACAATATAGTGTGACGAAAGATTCAATTTAGAACTTAGATACCTAAGCTTCAAGAAATTTTAACTACTTACCAACCATTGACTATACCTAGAATTCATAAAGAACAACAACTGACTATGAAGGTCCATTCAAATTTCTTGAAAAGATTTAAAAACTGCTCTCGGAGTGTGAAATTTCGCCTAGTCGTAAAAGTTTTGATATGAATACGACACTTGTGTCTCAAAAATTCAATCTTACATAATAAAATGGCTTCATCAATACTGCGAGATAGCTCTCGAGTCTGCGAACTATTGAAGACTATTCTAGGAAGTTAAGTAGACAAGGCCACATTACTGAGAGGTCATAGAGCAAAATGAACAAATTCAGAATGAAGTAGAGTGAAATTGACAGTATAAATGCACCCTTGTTTATGGATGGCCAGAGCTAAAAAATCAACAGACTCCTCAGTTTGACTATAAATCCAAATGAGAGCAAGGATAAGAAATACTAGTATCCTAATTTGTTGCAAAAGAGACATGCAACTTATCTTGATAGGAAAAATAGATATGAAGAGCATCTCACTAAATCGATGGCTTTTGTATGATATTATTTAGATTATTATTGGCAAGTACTTATTACTTGTCACGAGTAGAATCTTTGTTATATAAATTTTAGATTAAAATAAATGATTAGATTTAGCCCTATCTCTTATTGAAATTGAAAATAATGAAATCAAGATTAATTAATAATCAGCTAGAACTCAATTGAGAAAATACATTAAAATTTCTAGTTAGTCATTAATCCTTTTTCTAAAAGAAGCTTTTGATAGATTATATTGACCCTGTTATACTGGCTTTTGAATCTTTTCTAATGCGCTTACTTTTGCCTTTAACTTTGGTATTCGAAGTATTAATTGGACTACCAAATGGCTAGGTTCTCTTTTTAGTATTCTGCACTGTTTAAGATTTGATCTTTTGGTGTGTCTCGAATTCAGTTACATCCTCGACCTTCTCCTCGTCATCATTTATGATTAGCACAGATTAATCGTTTATATCACTATCATTTAGATTAGACTTCATATCATGATCGCTAAGAGGATTTTTTGCAGGAACATTCGATGATTTTGTTACAAAGGCACTGATCTTTCTTTGTTTGTTCAAGTCCAAAGAAAGATTCTTAGAATTCAGACCACCACTGACGTGACTATTTGCTCCCTGCTTTTTAGTTGGTGGTGTAGTTATTTTAACGTTGTTACTCTTTTTGCTCTAGCCTGTATTTAACTGAGATCTTTTGCCAAGTTGCTCTAATTGCTTTTACTATTGCTAAGCGTATTCATCCTTTGACAATCCTTTGTTAAAAAATGAACTCAGTGATTTATCTCTCTTAATCTCATGAAGATTTTTAAGATGTGACATTTTAACTCCGAGTAGTCTCACAGCCTTATAGGGCCAGAGCTATTCTAGTATCTAGTGACTATGCTTTGTGAGATCCTCTTATGTCCAAATGTATGACTTAAGTTAAACAGATTTATTCACCAATTCAAATTAAGTACTTTTTAGCTCTAAAGTCAGCGTGAGTCCCCCTAATTTCCTCTTATCCATTCTTTAAGCTAAGTCCTCGCAAATCTCTTTTATTTTCTCTTTGAATTACTCTAGTTTGTGTATTGGGCTAAAAGTTGTACTCACGCTAATAGATTTTTAACAGGCATCATCATCATCCTCCTCATGAAAGTTTCGAGATATTCCCAAGGCAGCTCTAATTAGGAAATAAGAAGTCTTCTCTGAAAAGATGAGGTGAATTTCAGTTGCCTTCTCTATAACTTGCTGGCAAGTATATATTTCAAATTACTATAGAACCAGCTCAGTCATCCTTCCAATTCCTGGAATTTTTCTTACGCTCAATTTATTTACAAAGTCCATTACTGCCTCTTTATCTGGCTAGAGATAGTACTATCCATTTGGCTTATTCATGTCGGTACATATCTTTGCTAGCATTTTATTACAAGCGATACCTGCACTGCAAGTAAGCTACGTGGCCTCATTTATTCTAGTTCTTATTTCTAAAGCAACTTGCCTCTTCTCCTCTTCAGTGCCTAAACCGTGATTCATCAAATACCCAGTGAGATCTAAATTTGCCTCATCCAAACCCATCGATTCATAACTTGGGTCATACTCCTCCAATATTTTTTTGAAAACTTTGGAGACTTCCGTATATTTTTTAAAGTTGCAGTCTCTGAAAACTAATTATGGACATAATTTACGAGCAATGAAGCCAGGCATTGCAGACCTAACTCCATATTTTCTCGCTACATAATTAGCTGTACTTATCATAGAATCACCTCCTATAGCCAGAGGAACATCAGCAAGACTTGGTTCGTCTCTAATCTCTACTGCAGCATAAAACATATCCATGTCAATATGAACCCAAGTTCTGCTATAATCCCTGTCCTTTTCTATCTCATTTATTAGAGACTTCACATTCTTCTTAGCAGCATCCCATGACTTTTGATTTTTTTAGCATTAATCAATTTTTTGTTTGTAAGTCTATGCTTTTTCCTTAGCAGCCTAGGTTCTTTCCATTTCTTTAGTATAATATGATGAACCTTTTGATGCATCAATAATCATTTACTGTATCTTGTCTTTATCTATATCATCCATTCCTGCCTTATGAGCTACATAATGTAAGGCTGGCTAATCAGATCTTCGCTTAGTAACTGTAGTTGTATCAATTTAAACTTCATGAACAATACCCTAATTCATTAAATTATCCTGTGATTCTAAATAAAGTTGGTCGTTAGCTAATTGACTGTTTTTTAATTTCCCATTATCACTTATGTCATTTTGAGGATTTTTGATATTTTGATTATAACTAAAAACTTCATTTTCATAATTTCAATGTTAATCTACACAACTTAATGAATCACATAATACAATATGACTTACCTATGAAATCGTCCCCTTCTGCTAGGAATAAATCATCTAGTCCCTCTTCAATATTAAAGGATTGTTGACTCATAAGTGGATATTTTGTGTTTGACTTCTAAGTCTATTTTACTTGCATAACTTCACAACCATTATTTGTTGGCGTTAATTCTAAATCATCTACATCTAAATTTTCATTAAACTCTAACTAAAATTCTTAAAGCTAAGCCGAATTCTCAGCATTATTTACTTAACTCTTTCTTATTTGATTTTAAGAGTTTAATAGGGACGGATTATTATAGAACACATCTAGTATGTCTATTTCAGAGTCATCCTGGCATTCTAATTAAAGATCCAAATTGTTTGAGCTTTATTAATATGATTTTGAAGATTTCAAGGAAGAGCCAGAGTCTGAATTTTTCATTTTGTTATTTTAAATTTATAATTGAAACTTTCAGTTTTAAAGAAAGTGGAATTTTAATCCTATCTCGTATTTATTTCTAAAAACTACTTTAAATAGATATGATTGTCAACATGGGGTTTTGGGGTTTTGGGG